ATAACAGTCTAAGAGCAACAGTATAAGAGTACTGTGTCCTCCATCCTATATCTATGCATTTGAGTTTTTTTGCCCTAAGTGCAATATCTTAACATTTCTCCATGTTGAAATTCATTGTGTTAGCTTTGTCCATAACTCCTGATTCTAGAGAGGAGCGCTGTTCCTAGCAATGTGCTTTATTTATACTTCTTCCGAACCACTCTTTGGACCCTACGTATGCCCTATAACTGCCCAAAATGCATCATGTAACTTCACAAAAGGCCCCCAAAGTTATCCAGCGGGGGGCCAGGACATTGACGGTGACTTCCAAATGGAGACTAAAAATGCAAGAGGAGGCAAATGCCCAAGATAACCTCGACTCAATTAGATGCCGTTACCATGGGGAACCAAATCTTAAAAGCTTGTCAAAAGTCAATCCCTTTGCATTTGGCTGTGCAGAGCAGGCAGCCTATGAAGATATTCGGATGCACACGGACACAGAAAGAGAAAATACTTCAGAGAGGCTGTCCCTCGAGGAGAGAAAGCAGAACAGAGCTCTTGGCCGGAAGGAAAGAAAAGCACAGGATTTCTTTGAAGCTCAGTGTGACACTGATATGCACCTGGTTTCCATCTGCAGGGCTAGAAGCCAAAGTCCCAAGAGGGGGACACCAAGTCCAACCAGGTGTTGCCTTTTGTGATGGAGCAATAAATGGGCATATTGTGAATCGAATAGGATCCGGAACAACAGAACACCTAATTTCTGCATGGCAGAATGGGGTTGGACTGGATGACCTTTGGGGTCTCTTCCAACTCTATGATTCTATGAACAACAACAACATGTCACTAAAAGGAGACAGTGTGGTGCAGTGGTTGAATGTTCGACTACGATTCTGGAGACCAGGGTTCAAATCCCTGCTCAGCCATGGAAGTCCACTGAGTGACATTGGGCAAATTGCATACTCTCAGCCTCAGAAAGCCCAGTGGTTAAGTCGGAAACTATTTGAAGGCACACAACAAGAATGTCACTAACAGGATGCCATTGTTGCCCCATAGCGGCTGTGATTGTTTTGTTTTTAGGTTACATTTCTTAACAGTTTATCATTCCTCTGAGGATGAGCTACTACTTTTGAATCTGAAGTCAAAGTGGCAACTAGAAGACTGACGGATCCATGAGTATATTCACCACCAACCCCAGCCGCTGTTGGCATCCACAGGCTTTAAGATTATTATGATTTTAACCTGGCTTCCTTTCAATCTGCTTTGGCCTTTGGAGACAACAACTGTGTTGCATTGCCTCCCTAGGTCTCCCTTTGTCTAGATTGTAGACCCTTGGAGGCCAAGAATCTGCTTTAAATTCTGCGTCTGCATACTGTCAGGCATATTGCTGGAAAAAAAATAATTACAATAATTAATAACAATGACAAAGGGGCTGTGTTATGTGACCAAGATGGTCAAAATGAGATTTGAATAGGACTTGGGGTTCTTCTGGATTTGTTCTTTGCAGAACACAGAGCAGTTTCTCCCCCAGCATGCAAATATGTCCTGGACCTTTTGGGAATTGTAGAGCCAGATGGTTTAATTCTAGGTGTACAGAATGCAGACTGAAAAGAGGAGTTCCCGCACTCTGGAAATGCATTTGTCACATTTCTATTAGGTATATCTATCCTATATTTCATATCCTCCAACATACACAGATGAAAACTGGGATACATGTGGCTGAGCAAAGAGTTCCCATACCTGGGATCAAACCTGGATAGAAATGGGGACTGCAGTCAGGAAATCAGAAGAAGACTATGAATGGGGAGAGTGGCTAGGAAAGAATTAGGTAAGATCCTAAAATGCAAAGATATACAACTCAGCACAAAAGTTAGAAATGTCCAAGCCATTGTATTCCCTATTATTCCCATGGATGGATGTGAGAGCTGAACAGTTAAGAAAGAAGATAGGAAGAAAACCAATGCATTTGAGAGAATGTGAGGCTGGAGAAGAGTGCTGAGGATCCCATGGATGGCCAAAAGGATCAACAAATGGATCCTAGAGCAGATCAAGCCAGAAACCTCCCTGGAAGAAGAAGCCAAGATGACCAAACTGAGGCTGTCGTACTTTGGACACATCATGAGAAGAGAGGACTCTTTGGAAAAGACAATAATGCTGGGAAAAGTGGAGGGAAGGAGGAAGATAGGAAGGCCACAGGCCAGATGGAGGGACTCTATTATGAAGGAGATCACTTTGGGGATTTATTAATGGGTTGCAGGATTTAAGCAGAGCAAAAGAGGACAGAGGGTCTTCTTGGAGAGGTATCATCCATAGGGCCGCCGTGGGTCGAGATTGACGCAACGGCAGTTAACAACAACAACAAAGTATCTTTGGACTGATCCAGCATCCTAAATCCTTTATATTATGATCTTAAGATGAACTTGGCACGGTGGAAGGAAAATCAACCAACCCCCCTTTTTTGGGGGGAAAATGTATCTTTTGTATGAGCGCTTGATGTAAGATAGCTTCCTATTTTATCTATCAATAACGGCCTTTCCTTTTGCTTCATTGCAAAGAGGGACTTAGGGGGAGGTTGATCCTAGGAGAAGTATTTCATCTGGACTGAACAATCCAAGCCTCAGATAGGATCCTGACATGTCAGCCTTCCTTCTGGCTGCCCCAAACAGTTCATTGTGAGCAAACCCCCAGACCTTTTGTGTGGGTGTGCTTAACTCCCCTTTTCAGATTTATGACGGTTTATACATTATGAATTTTAGCTGTTCTTTTGAAGTGGAAAATGCAAAGACCATGTTTATTGCAAAACAGTACTGCTTCTCCTTTCCTCATTGGGAAGTATAAGCTTCAGCTTCTTCAGCCCAGTGGAACAAATCCTATTGACTCGCTCTATTCCATACTCCCTGCTCCCAGCCTGGTTTAAACCATATTACAAGATTTTACATTATCAAATATCCACATATTTGCTTAGGCTTTGGCTTGGGTTCAGATTGCAGCAACCTCATCTGTTTTCACCTAATAACTTGTATAACACCTGGCCTTTTTAATATATCTCCTTTTGTCCTTCACATTTTCTTAATTGTATAGATATGATAGATAGATAGATAGATAGATAGATAGATAGATAGATAGATAGACAGACAGGAAAATGCCTGTCCTTCTCTGCCTAACTTTAGGATATTAACTGTGTGTTTTGAGTAATATTTCATGGGAATGTTTGACAACGTTGACACACCTTCCAACATTTCACAGATGAAAACTGGGGCACACGTTGGCAAGCAATATCAGAATGTGGTCAAGATGGCAAAAGTCATTAATGAGGAAAAACACACAAGCTAGCAGAGGCCGCAGCAGTTTGCTTTTGACATGCCTACTGGGAAGAGCATCTCTCCATCTCCCTCTTTTCCTCCTGCTGTGTTTTACACTTGGAACTCGGTTTGCAGCCATTGAAGTAAGCCCAGGAAGGAGATCAGTAGAAGGAGGGAGAGAGAAAATTTAAAAGCAGTGAGAAAGTGAGACAAAAGACAATTAACCAGGGCTATCCCAAATGTCCAAACTGGGATGCTGGAAAGTATGGTTCAGCATAAGGGTGTCACAATGGGGTACGAGGAATATGGATCACACTAGGTGATACCCTAAGCGAAGGTGACACCACTGTTCCACTAACATCCGTCTTTTGGCAGAAATGGGCTGTGGAGTCCATCTGCCATCCCTTTAAGAAACTGAAGAGATGGTATGAGACCGAGTCCCCCATCACTGATTTCCTCCCATACAACACCATGCAGAAATACAGACATTTTGTGTCAAGACAAAAGGGAAGGACAGCAATGAAAGAACTAGAGAAGATCCCAAAGAGTAAAGATATACAAATGAACACTAAAGTTAGCATTGTCCAAGCCATGCCGGATGGTGAAGAAAGCAGATAGGAAGAGCATCAAGTCATTTGAGAAGTGAAGGTGGAGAAAAGGGTTGAGGATACTGTGGCAGCCAAATGGTCATACAAACGGGTCCTTGAACAGATCAAGCCTGAAATCTCCTTGGAAGCCAAGATGATCAAATTGAGACGATGATCAAAGTACCGCCAAAGTTCTTTGGCCACATCAAGAGGATCAATATATTGTTGTACTTTGGCCACATCATGAGAAGGCATGACTCTGTAGAAAGGATAATAAAGCTAGGAAAGGTAAAGCAAAGTAGAATGGATAGACTCCATCAGAGAGGTCATGGTCATGGATTTGCAGGACCTGAGCAGAATGGTTGAGGACAAAGGGTCTTGGAGATTTCTCATCCACAGGGTCACCTTGTGTCAGGGTTGACTTGAGGGCAGTTAACAACAAACAACATAGAAAAATCCAAGTGATATTTTTCCTAATACCAAATCTTCCCCATTCAATCCGATTCAACGAAAAGGGTATGAAATGTCAAAGTAACCTCTCCAACCTCATTTATTGCACACAAGCACTTTTTAAACCAACACAAACCCCAAACTTTCTTATACTGCACAGAAAATCAAAAGACGAGCTTCTACACTTTAATAAAGACAGAATCCCTAGGGCATCAAATCTCAAAGGCATCAACACCTTGATAATTGGATTTGGTCTTGCCAAAGATACACAACAGATTTTTTTATATGTGTCCTTGATGACAGCTAGAAGAGATGGAAAGGAAAAGCACCTTTCATATCTCCCAGATTCACCGAGACAGCAGAGGCTCTTCTGACAAAGTTCTGTAAAAAGGAATTGGCAATGATTTCACCTTGCAAGGGACCTACAGACTCAGGCAGGAAAGGTAAAATAAGCCAAGATGGGCTACAGATTCTCGATCAATTAAATAGAATGAACAGCAGGATTCGGAGGAGTGTTTCTGAACACTGTCACTTATTACCTGCCCATCTGAATCTGTCGATCTGGGAACCATCTGCACTGCAGAAATAATCCAGTTTGACGCCACTTTAACTGCCATGGCTCAGTCATGTAATTTTGGGTTCTGTAACTTTGTAAACTAGTTAGCCTTCCCTGACACACAGCTCTGGTGCTACAACAAACAACAAATACCAAAATTCCTGAGCATTCATCCACGGCAGTTAAAATGATGACAAAGTGGATTATTTTTGCAGTTCAGATGCAGCCTAAGGAAAGCTGTTCCGTTGCATTTGGTCTAACAAAATAAATGCACCGACTTAAGATACTGAATTTGCTTTGAATCAAACCAGGTTAGCTAGTTTCTCTGCACTTCTTTCATTACATAGGCCAGCCAAACTTCATCTCAACTTCATCTCCTTTTGCCAACTGGGAACCATTCTGTTTCTCCATATTTTTTTTCTAACATAGCCTCTTGCCCTAAGTACAGATTTCTCACCAGGACTATCAAATGTAGTGGCATTCCTATGCCTTTGAGAGCGTTCCAAAGTTTTTTCGTGATCTATGCCATCAAAGGCTTTGCTATAGTGAAGAAAGCACATGCTGATTTTCTTTTGGAATTGCCTGGTTTACATTTAAATCCAGTTTCCAGGTTTGCTGTCCAGGGTCCTGATTTCTGGCCCTTGGTTAACATGGGAGGAATCCAGCCTAACTCCCCATTCTCTTTCCCTTGCACCCTCCATTTAATCTAAACTGGAGGGACAAAATGGCTCGCCCCTTACAGGAAACACAGGTCAGAAATGCAACCAAGAAATCAATACATTTAAAACTTCCCACCACTATTTAACAGAGTTTGACATTCCCAACAGAGGCTTCTAAAGATTGGGTTTGTTGTCGAGTGCCTTCGAGTTGTTTCCAACTTATGGCGACCCTAGGGCATCTCTCTCATGGGGTTTTCTTGGCACATTTCTTCAGAGGGGATTTGCCATGGCCACCCTCTGAGGCTGAGACAGTGTGACTTGCCCGAGGTCACCCAGTGGGTTTTGATGCTCGAGTGGGGAATCGAACCCTGA